AAGAGGCCGAGATGGTCGGTGGTCAGCTCGACCTTGGCCTGCAGACAATAGCCCGGACTGCCCAGATGGAAGGCCTCGCTCCAGGGGTGCAGGCTGAGCTGGCAGACGGCCGTGAAGCCGGACAGGCTCCAGATGAACAGGTTGCGGCCGTCCGGATAGGCGGGGCCCAGCTGGGCCTGGAAGCCCTTGTCCGGCCGGAAGGTGGCCTCGGGCGTCGACGGCGAGACGAGCGAGGCCGGCGAGCCCGGCGGCGCCGGGCAGCCGAGCAGGCTGCGCGGAGTGCGCGGACTCGCCGGACTGACGAGTCGGCCGAGCGCCGGCTCTTCGTCATCGCAGCTCTCCGACGCGCTGGACGGCGGCAGCAGGCGGAAGTCGATGTTGACGCGCAGCCGGTCTCGGCCCTTGGCCAGGCCGGTGCTGAACTGCGGCCAGCCGAGCTGCGCCTGCACCTCGGTCTCGCGAGTCCTCGCGACCCCGCCCGACGGCGACGCCATCAGACGAGCCGTCAGTCCGTCCGTCCGGGCGAACAGGATCTTCGTGGCGCCTTGACAGTCGACGGCGGAGATGGGCGAGGCGAAGGGAGCCGCGGGTCCGCCGGCCTCGCCCTTGTCCTTCTGCCGGGCCGGCGCCGGCCGAGCGCGACGAGCGCCGGCCTTCTTCTTGGCGTTGTTGTTCATCATCATCAACCGGCCCGTGCAGCTCGAGTTCGAGTCCGGGCCCGGGCTCGCGCCCGAGCTCTCGGGCGCCAGCAGGTCGGGCGCCGACAGCTCAGAGTCCAAGAGGCGCGCCAGCTTCAAGATGTCGTCGTAGAGACGACGATGCTTCTCCAACATGCCGGTTAACCGGTCCGAGGCCGCCAAGTGGCGGTCGGCCTCGTCTCGCGCCTCAGTCATGCCCATCGGAGCTGGCCGAGAGCCCTGCCGCGGGCAGGTCGGGTCGACTCGTCCACTGGCATGGCTGGTGGCCAGACGGAATGCGGCTCCACTCGCCTCGGCGAGTCTGGCGGCATCGATCCGACATGGGCCGAGGGCAAATACAAACGAGTCATCGGCGACGCTCAACACCAGAGTCCACCGGACGTTCCAGTCCTATTTAACGCCCTCGAAAGCTACTCATATCAAAAGTAAGTAGTGTCGTCGAATGCAATGGCGAAAACACGCCCAATTAATACTACTACTTCCGCAACTGCACTCGGAGCATGACTCATCGGCACTGTGTCTTGGCGACTAAGCGAACCTTATTTTTCGTTTAATATATGAAGACCAAGATGTTGTGGCCTCTGGTGTGGTCGCAGTCTCCTTTTGATTGATAGAAGTG